CCGTAGTTCATGCCATAGCGACATTACTCTAGATTAATAATCTTTTTTATTTTTTTATTTCGGATGTTTTCTGAAAATGTTTTCTGTGTCAACATAAAAAATATAAATATTTTTTTCCTATGCTGACACAATAAAAATATCTACATTAAATCGGAGAGAAATCTCTATATTAATTAAAAAAAAATTACTTTTAAAATAATAGAAATTCCTGTACTAACAAAGGATTTTTCTTCTGCTACTTAGCTTTTTTTCAATACTAGGTGGAAAAATTACTACATGTAGAAATAAATTCTATGTTAATACAAGAAATAATTACTGGATAAAGAAATAATTTAATTGTTGATGCAGTAAATTTTGCTAATCAACATAGGAAATTTTCTTAAGCAAAAATAGTTAAAATTTCTATTTTTTCATCCGTGCACTTACATATTTACATTTGATCAAAAATTACGTTAAATAAAAGTTTTTTAAAAAATTTATGAAATTTAATATAAATTCAAATGAACTTTGTTAATTAAAGGAAAAAAATGAGAATATATTACTTGATCATTCCTAGCTGATCATCACTCATGAAAAGTTACCTGACTCAACACTGCGGAGTCGGCATGTTATATTCCCGGCGGTGCAGGGGCAAGATCACTATGCAGATATGGGGCTGAAAATGGCCAGCGTATGTGCAACGTGAGCCTGACTGTGCCTCCGTGACTCGTAGTTTACCCTCCATGCGCTTTAGCTCTACGCTTTTCAAATGCATTTATCACTATGAACATGGACATACATTGGCTCTTGCCTCTGCTTATACAGTTACAGCTATGTGTTTTGTTGAAATACGAGTTTTGATAAATTTTACTTTTTTACGCGATTGCCTTTCCATCAACCACTTTCATTTTTTTTAAATATATTTATTTCAAACTTCTTCTTTCTTTTTATTTAAAATACAACACACTTAATATTTATCACTTTATACCTATCAAGAATTTATCCTAAAATAAGGCATCCGTTTTTTTAGATTCCTCTAAACACCTGACTCTCAAATAAACTCTTAGCTTTTAGGCACATCTTTTATTATTGTACACTAATTTATTACCCTGCTTACTGTGTTTCATACCATTGATTTATAAGCCAACAAGACTTACAATTACAGAATAAATTTTATGAGTTATGCTTTTATGAAAATAAGTCAAGTAAATACGAGATGATGCAAATATATAAGCGTTATTTCTTTATGTTCTTTATGTATTATTTATTTTTGAATAAATTTGTATAGATAATTTATGGTTATAACTTTTAACGACTCAAGTATTTATTTGAAAATATTTGATTTAAGATAATTTATCGTGTTCATTTTTTTTATAAATTAATTTTTCATTTTTTTTTTCGCATATTTTTAAGAATCTAAGGTCATTAATTGTTTTTAAATCAAATGGTAACTAATAACATGAATAATCATTAAAATTAATTTTATTTTATATTTCTTGTCTCAATTTATACGGTTACGAAAAATTGAGTTAATTTAAAAAAAAATTTGAACCAAGAAAATCATTTTGATAAATTCAATTATTTTGGAGTGAGCTAAAAAATTTTTGAATTAAGTAGAATCCGAACAAAAACAGTTTCACTGTAAAAAAAGCGCGCCAAGTCCACGTTCATAAGACTATTAAGAAAA